TCGAAGAGGCGGAGATCGATTTCTCGCGAACAGCTAAAGAAAGTAAAGCTGACCCTCGAGATGAGAGAAGGGAGAAGAGAATTTCCTCGACTGGGGAGAGAAAGAGGTCTCCACGAGCAGAGAGAGAGGGGCGACCTAGGGGTTGGAGGCCGACTCAATACACCCCTTTGTCTGCCCCTCAAGCGCGAATTCTGGAGGTGATGGAAAGAGAAATTCATGACAATGTTGTCAGATGGCCCAAGACGAGAAAGGACGGACCAACGAGACCAAAGAGTAATCTATATTGTCGATTTCACAAGGACTATGGTCACAATACTGACAACTGCAGGCACCTTAAAGACGAGATCGAAAGACTGATTAAGGCATGACATTTGAAGGAATTCATATATAAGGATCGGGAAAAGTCGAGCAGGAAGAGAGAAAGGAGCAGGAGCCCTCGCAAGAGGGCGAGAACGCCTGAGAAGGAGGAGCTTCCTCAAAGAAGGGGAATTATACATATGATATTCGGTGGATCGACGGATGGAGATTCAAACCGAGCAAGGAAGGCATACGCTCGGGGGCGTCATGGAAAAGTTTAGGTACAGCAAGTCGACGAAAGTGGTCCAGTAATGAATTTCGGGCCAGTGGACGTAGGAGAGGTTGAGAGGCCTCACAACGATGCACTAATGATAACCGCTCAAGTGTCAGGATACGAAGTACAGAGAGTGTTTGTCGATACTGGGAGTTCAGTGAATGTAATATTCTATGATTGTCTCAAGAGGATGGAGCTAGACATACAACTCACACCCCTCCATACCTCGCTGTTCGGTTTCAACGGGTCAGAAGTCACGCCCCTTGGAGAGGCCATGCTCGCTGTCGTCCTAGGGGAAGGCGACTTGCGGAAGGTAAAAATGGTGAGATTCGTGGTAGTCGACGTCGAGTCAGCTTACAATGTGATCCTGGGAAGGCCCACGCTTAATGCATTTCAGGCTGTGGTGTCGACTTACCACATGAAGTTGAAATTTCCAGTCGGAGACCAAGTGGGAGAAGCTAGAGGTGATCAAAATTTGTCGAGAACTTGTTATCAAATCGCGGTGAAAACCAACCAGCGAGCCGAGGTTAAGGAAGGGAAGAAGTCAATGTCAAGCGAGAAAAGGCCGAGGAATAGTGACCTTGAGCCACACGGGGAGTTGATGGAAATACAAATTGGAGAAACGGAGGAACAAACCACTAAGATCGGAAAAGACTTAAGAAACGAGCTGCGAGACCAACTCATCGCATTACTAAAGGAATTCAGGGATGTTTTCGCCTTCACCCCTGAGGAGTTGACGGGGATCGACCCTACCATTATGGAGCATAAACTCAACGTCGACCCCCTCAGAAAGCCAGTAAAACAACGACTTAGACACCATGGAGGAGAAATCGACAAAGCCATTGAAGTCGAGGTGGATAAGTTGCTGCGAGCAGGGCACGTCAAGGAAATCCAATTCCCCGATTGGATATCCAACACCGTAATGGTAAGAAAGGCACTAAACAAATGGCGTAGTTGCATCAATTTTCGCGATTTAAACTTGGCCTGCCCAAAAGATCATTATCCCTTACCGCGGATTGACCAGCTAGTCGACTCCACGGCTGGTTGCGAGTTGCTGAGCATGATGGATGCATCCCAGGGATACCATCAGATTCCATTGGCCCCTGAAGATCAGAGTAAGGTGAGTTTTGTGACGAGCAAAGGGACGTACTGCTATGTCGTTATGCCCTTTGGGCTTAAGAATGCGGGAGCAACCTACCAGCGATTGATGGATCGTATGTTCAAATCACAAATCGGGCGAAATATCAAAGTATATGTGGACGATATCTTGGTGAAGAGTAAGTCCTCAGCATCACACTCAGGCGATTTAAGAGAAACATTTAAAACCCTTCGGGCGTTTGGAATGAAGTTGAACCCAAGCAAGTGCGCCTTTGGAGTAAAAGCAGGTCGATTCCTGGGGTATATCGTCACAGAGCGAGGAATCGAAGTAAACAGGGAGAAGGTGAAAGCCATACTCGACATGGCCTCGCCAAGAAATATAAGAGACGTGCAAGTACTCACAGGAAGGATTGCGGGGCTAAGCAGGTTCATTGCTCGGGCCGCAGAAAGAAGCTTCCCATTCTTCAAATTACTCAAAAAGAAGTCGGCTTTCTTGTGGAGTGACAAGGCACAAATGGCCTTTGACAAATTGAAAGAATTCTTTGGCGAACTACCTTTGTTGACAAAGCCCGAGCCCGGCGATGAGTTGGTACTATATATATCGGTGGGCTCGGTATCGTTAAGTTTAGTGCTATTACGAGAGGAAGGGGGTGTCCAACAGCCAATTTACTATACCAGTCGAGTTCTTCAGGGTGCGGAGGCGAGATACTCTGAGATCGAGAAAGCCGCCTTAACGCTGGTGATAACGACCAGAAAACTGAGGCCATATTTCCTAAACCATGTGGTATTAGTCAGGACGAACTTTCAACTAGGCGAAACACTGGGCCGGCCTACGGTATCAGGTCGACTCGTCAAGTGGGCAGTCGAGCTGAGCGAATATTCAATCAAGTACGAGCCGAGGCGAGCCATAAAGGCTCAAGCCCTAGCGGATTTCATCCAAGAAGGTACCAAGGGGGAAGAAAAGAAATGGGTCATGCACGTTGATGGGTCCTCGGCGGCTAAAGGGTCCAGTCTCGGAATCGTTCTCGTATCACCCGAGGGCGAGCAACTCGACTTTGCCATTAGAATGGGATTCAAGGCCTCAAATAACGAAGCAGAATACGAGGCGTTAATCAAAGGGATTCAACTTGCAATCGGCGGAGGAGCGTCAGAAATTGTGGCACATTCCGACTCGCAATTAGTTGTTGGACAAGTGCTGGGAAGTTGCGAGATCAAGGAAGAAAGGATGATGAAATATGTCAAAAAAATCCAAAGTCTGGTGCAGGGCCTGGAAAAGTTTGAGCTAACACAAATCCCTCGAGAGGAAAACAAACGAGCAGATTGGCTCGCGAGAATTGCGAGCTCGAATGATGGAAAGATCGGAAGTTCTATCACCACCATGCACTTAGAAGGAAGCGTGTTGGGCGAGACGATGGAAGTCGAGGAAAGGGACGACTGGAGAAAACCGATTCACGAACTCCTACAGGGTCGAGTACCTATAGGAGATAAACAGGAGGCAGAAAGGGTTGCTCGATATCTAAGCAAATACTTTGAAGTCGACGGGATCATGTTCAAAAAGTCTCTGGTTGGGCCTCACTTGCGATGCGTTTCTGAAGACGAAGGAAACCATGTCTTGAAAGAAATACATGAAGGATGTTGCGGAGCACATATAGGATCACGAGCCTTGGCAGGCAAAGCCCTGCGAGCAGGATATTATTGGACCAAGATGCGAGCGATGGCAGAGCAGCTGGTCCAGAAATGCGAAAAATGTCAACGACATGGGAAAATCACGCACATCCCCACCGAATACATGACGACCATAAACACCCCGATCCCCTTCGCGCAATGGGGAATCGACTTGGTAGGACCATTGCCAACGGGAACAGGGCAGAGGAAGTTCCTAGTAGTCGCTGTCGACTATTTTACCAAGTGGGTCGAAGCGGAACCTTTGGCGAAAATCACGGAGGAGAAGATGATTCAATTCCTGTTTAACAACATCTGTTGTCGGTTCGGAGTTCCGAAAGTGCTAATTTCTGACAATGGGACTCAGTTCCAAAGAAAACGAATTCAAGCATGGTGCGTCGACATGGGGATGAAACAAAGATTTGCCTCAGTCGCACACCCCCAGGCTAACGGCCAAGTTGAAGTGACTAATCGAACCATTCTACAAGGATTGAAGAAGAGATTGGAGAGAGCATCAGGTGCTTGGGTCGATGAGCTGACAACAGTTCTATGGGCTTATAGGACGACTCCAAGAAGCTCAACAGGCCAGTCGCCATTTCACATGGTTTACGGAATGGACGCACTCTTGCCTATCGAAGTCGGCTTAGATTCTCACAGGTCGACATTTTATGAGGAAAACAAGAACGAGGAGATGATCGAAGAGGCCTTAGATATGATAGAAGAAGGACGAGAGGAGGCCTAGGTGCGATCCATAGAATACAAACAGAAGATGCGTGCAGCCTTCGACAGAAAAGTCCGCACCAGACGATTTCAAGTGGGAGATCTCGTCCTCAAACGAGCAGATGCTCTTAAACATGTCGGGAAGCTTGAAGCCAACAGGGAAGGACCTTACACCATCACCAAAGTGCTCAAAAGAGGTGCATATGAACTCGAGGATGGCGAAGGACGATAGTTGTCGCGATCCTGGCACGTGATCCATCTTCAAACGCTTTTATGCCTAAGATAGTATTTTGAACTCTTTTGTACTGAACAATGCTTAATCAAATTCAGTAATGTAGTGACTCCCAAGTTTATGTTTAAGTTGTGTCTTTTACATTTCCATGTCAATTTTATTATGATTACTCGAAAAATCGAATTTTTCGAAACGGCTATATAGCCGATTGACTCCAATGACTACGAAGACTACGAAGTTGTATGCCTCGAGTGGAATCTCGGCAATGGCTACGAAGCCTACGACTAAGAAGTCGATCTAAAACAACTACGAAGTTGTATGCCTCGAGTGGAATCTCGGCAAGGGCTACGAAGCCTACGACTACGAAGTCGATCTATAACAACTACGAAGTTGTATGCCTCGAGTGGAATCTCGCAAGGGCTACGAAGCCTACGACTACGAAGTCGATCTAAAACAACTACGAAGTTGTATGCCTCGAGTGGAATCTCGGCAAGGGCTACGAAGCCTACGACTACGAAGTCGATCTAAAATAACTACGAAGTTGTGTGCCTCGAGTGGAATCTCGGCAATGGCTACGAAGCCTACGACTACGAAGTCGATCTAAAACAACTACGAAGTTGTATGCCTCGAGTGGAATCTCGGCAAGGGCTACGAAGCCTACGACTACGAAGTCGATCTAAAACAACTATGAAGTTGTATGCCTCGAATGGAATCTCGGCTAAGATACGAAGCTCGTGATCACGAAACCTATAAATACGAAATTGCCACTCAAAATGAACCTCGGCTAAACTATAATATCTACAATTATGAAGTCTGCCCTAAACAATCACGACGAGCGTTGATCAAGCGTCGATCAATCACAACATTATAACAACTGCGAACGATTATGTCCCTAGATGTCCTAGAAAATCAGCTACGAAGCTGTTAAAAACGTTGCTCCACTTCGACCAGCTCGCAAACCGGGTTGGGAGAAGACGAGTTGAAAAAAACTTCGTTTACCAGCTATGAAGCTGTTAAAAACGTTGCTCGACTTTGACCAGCTCGCAAGCCGGGTTGGGAGAAGACGAGTTGAAAAAACTTCGTTTACCAGCTATGAAGCTGTTAAAAACGTTGCTCGACTTCGACCAGCTCGCAAGCCGGGTTGGGAGAAGACATACAAGACAAGGCAAGTTGATAAGCTTAAAAAAAACGACAAGCTACCAAAAGAAAGTTATCATAGATAGACGATTAATTACATCCGCAGACGCCTTAACCCTTGCAGCCTTGAAAATGGGTTAAGAACGACAAAGAGCGAAAAAGCAAAACAAATATCTAATTTTTCAGCATAAAACAAACATTTAACACTTTTGGGAATCCGCAGTAGATTGCTCAGCAAGATCAGCCTGCTCGCCTCCCTCGACCACAGGCTCGGTCCCCGCACCACCCTCGTTACCTAGAGGCTCGGTCCCCTCACCAGCTCCCTCGACCACCGGCTCGGCTCTTGGCTCTTCGGCCACTATTTCTTTATCAACTTCTTCTTCTTCTTTCTCGTCATCAGCCCCGCTCGGCTCAATTAAATCGACGGGTCCGACAAGGGGGGTGAGAGGAACCTCGAGATGGGCGCCGAGCTTTGCCTTTCGGATCGCACGAGCTTCAAGACCCAACCACCAAGGGTAGTCGTCGGGGAGTGATGCATCTCCACGATAGCCCCGCGGAAGAGGAAGCGACTCCTTAACCGCCTGGCGGTCGACCGCGCCCTCAAGGGCGGTGCCTTTGACATCCATGCGTCGAATGTAAAGTGGAAATACTGGAGGGTCGCCGGGCACAGTTTTTCGAGGAAGGCGGGAGAGTTGCAGAACCCCCCAACGACTTCCTTACGATAAGCCTCGAGGAAGACAGGGCCCATCGGCGACTTGAGGAAGGACTTGCGCCCTTCCTCCTTCCCAATCTCCCTCTCGGCCATGTTGTCTTCAATGGCCTTCGCAAGGTCGATGTGCAGCTGGTCGACCTTGGAGAGGGCGGCGTCCTTCTCGGATTTGAGTTTCGCGATGAGGGCATTGGCTGCCGCAAGGTCGTCATTCTTCCGCTCGAGCTCAGAAAGTAGCTCCGCACACTTCTTCTTGTAAACGTGGACATTGGAGTTTGGGGAACTGGACTCCTCAAGAAAAGTAGGCATCACATATGCCATGAACTGAAAAGAGAAACCGAAAAAAATCAGTATAAGGCAAAAACGAGAATAAGAAAAATAATTGACTAAGGCCTCGAGAATACTTACCCGCGAAAAACACATAAGAGCACGACCAGCACGGTCATAAGGGTCGCGGTCGGCGCGAGCCTTGTCGGCCACCGGGATTATGGAGTCAAAATACTTGGCAATCTCATGAGGATGAGGATGATCCCAGAGTCGGGAGGGCCTCTCAAGGGTCACCGTCTCGAGAGCACCAGAAGAGCGGGGAGCCTCGACTGCCTTTCCCTTATCTTGGCCCTTCTGGCGTTTGACGGAGTCGGGGACTAGCACAAAGTCGGCCTCATCTTGAGCCCTTTTACGGGACTTCGAACCTGAGGCCTTGGGAGGTGATGCAACTGAAGGAAAGACCACTTTCGACTTTTTGGCAGCAGTCGTCTCGACTGCTGCTTGCTTCGATCCGGAGCCGACGCCGTCATTAGCACCGGCAGGACGAGAGGAAGGCTTGGCGGATTTCTCGCCACCTTTCGCGGCTTTAGCCTCGAAACGTGCCAGAGTCCTAACTGTAAAAAGACGAAGAAACAGGTCATCAAAAAACACCATTATCATTTACACTTACGATACAGCCTACGAGTAAAGTAAGCACATAAATAGGACAAACGCATGAGCTTACTAGGGTCATCAAGGCGAGGGGCGTCCTCGTCAATACAAAGGCCCACATGATTAAGAAGACTACGATCCTTAACCAACAAACGAGCACTCCATTTGAACTTATTTAAGTCGACCAGCATATCCTGGAACTGGCTCGACTTAGGACGAAGGGTGTCCAGCTGAACCTTCGAGGTAAGCCAGATGTTGGAAAAAGGGTACTGGCCGGGGGCAGGACGGATATAGAAGAATTTGGTTTTCCACTCAGTAACGTTCGAAGAAAGGTCTTCGAGGAAGGAAACACCAGGTCGGCGACCCAAACAGTGGGCATCCTTTATGAAACGGTAACTATAACAGTACAACATGAATTCGGGCAAAAAACGGCCAAGCTTTATTCGGGAAACTATCATAAAAGCTACCATAATGCGAATAGCATTAGGAGAAAATTGATTTATGGGTACATTGTACATATTACTAATCGACAGAAGCTCAGGTTGGATTGGAAATTGCAAGCCGAACATTACTTGGTCGACAAAAAACGTGAAGCAGTCCTTGGGAGGATGGGTAAAGACGTCATTGGGGCCTGGGGCGATCA